CACGCACTGAAGCTCCATTGAGAAACTGGACAACCAGCTGGGATAACGAGGCTGGGAAGAACGGGGTGAACTCTGTTTGGATAACGCACTCTCCTCCATTAAAGGGAAAATACACAAAACTTGATGGATGCTGTTGTGCATAAAGTGGAAACTGTCCCTCTGTGGATTCCAGGAGTTGCTAAAATTTGGTCTTCAGTAAAACTACATCTTCACAGCATCACACCATTTTTTTTAACATTTTTGCTCTGATTTTAAACAGAAAACTGATATAATATTGCCATCCATGACATCTAATTCAAATGAACTTAACCAAAAAGATAGAATAAATAATCAGATCCACAGTTTTTAAAAGCGTTTGTTAAGCTGAATATTTTCTATTCTGCTCTTTATGGAGTAATTGAAATATAACAATGTGAAAAAGTTAATATTGACAGACTATTACTTAGTAGGACTAAATATTGATTTTGAATCAGGAGTTGCTCTAAGAATTTCTATGTTTAAAGGTGTACAGCCTATGAAATCAAGCTACTGTTGCCTTTTTGTCATATTTTCACCAACTCTCAACTGTGTCACATATGTCACAGTAAAGGTGGGAAACACATCACTTCTTTCCAAGACCGAATTGGACTTGAAGACAGAAAAATTGCTAAGCTGTCTTTATGCCATCAATGTCCAGGTTCTTGGAACATCATTGAGCCACTGACCTGTTTGGTGATTTATGAACGACCCCCGCTGCACCACTGCGACATTTTAGCTAATTATCTTAATCATTTTTCACAGTAACATAAAAAAACAAAAAAACAACAACTTCGTTTCGCTGCATGCTGTTACTTGGACAATAAAATGACAACTTTGAAATCTCAAATGACCATAAAGTTGAGGACACCTGATACTTTCCCCCATCTATGTTTGCTCCTCCTGCGGCTGAACCCACGAGGAGAAGGTGGAAATCTTCCTGAGAACACCTGCGTTTACTTAAGAGGCCTCTGTGTGTCTGGTCAAGTGTGAGTGGAGAGGCATGCCAGGCATACAGGGAATGCCAGGGTGTCACTGTGGGAAGCGGGCTGCATGCATACACACAAACATTTTCTTCCTGCTACTTTAGTCTTTGCACAAAACCACAGAAACCGCCCCTAAAGCCGGCCGAGGAACTGCGATGAGTGTCCCTAGACAAACACATATGGCTTCTAGAAAACCGACTGGCTCCTTATTGAGGGGGTGGGGGGGTTCAGGGTGGAGGCTGTTTGTCAGGAGGTGAAAAGACTAATGTGGTCCAAGCTTTAGCCAGAGAAGCTCAGCCTTCGCTGACCTCTGAGCTGGAACAAAAAAAGCCACGTTCATCAAGTGCGTCATTTTATTCAGGAGGAGAATCAAAAGAAACAAGCTTGTTAATATGGAAAACCAATTAAGAGGCAGAGTGCTCGAGAATCTCCGACAGAGAGGGAGAGAGAGAAGTGGTGGGGGGGAGGAAAAGAGGAGAGGGCAGACTCTATCAAAGACTCTTGTTGGAATTAGTAGCAAATGTCTGCTTTGGGGGGTTTTCTGAGCGACTCGTCGGGCTTTAGCAGGGGAGCGCACATGTGCGGCGAGCGTGTGCGTGAGGCTGAGGGGATGTTGGGAAGAATGGAGGGATGTCACGCTTTGTTTTTCTGCCTGTTGATTCTGAATGTGACCAATTAGTGAAGCAGAGAGAGACACAGAGTGTGGGAGTGGAGGAGGAGGGGGTCCAATCTCTTTCACCGTGAGAGTCTGAGGCCGATCTCTGAGTCAGAGCGGGATGAAAGCAGAGGGGAAGAGAAGAAGAAGGGAAAAAAAGAGAAAAAAACAGGGGCAAGCTACTACATAATGAACATAATGACAAACAAAAGGACTTTTCAGTCATTTCTGCTCGCTTTTCCTCAGACCCCCAACTCAGTTTGACGGCTCGGCGATGAACTGCGGGGAGGCCGGGGCGCGTTTTCTTTTCTTTCTTTCTTTTTTTTTTTGCTACAAAAATGTGAGTCTTTCATGTGAAACTGAAAACAATGACATCTTTTAAAACAAACTGGAGACAAAGGTGAGCAAAATCAGAAGACGGTCAGCCAGGAAAACAATCGTTAGGCAAATAATCCTCTGATCTGCCAATTTCAATTTTAAATATGTACATTTTTTTCTAAATATAGTGACAAAGTTGCTAGATTAGCAACATTGGAGTAGCTAGTGGTAAAGATATCGACTAATCGCAAATCTACCAAAATTAAGAAACTCAGTGCGATTAATCGGTGAACCGCGATATATATATATATATATATATATATATATATATAAAAAAAAATATATTTTTAGATAAATTTCTTAAACATCAAACAATGTCCCCAAAACTCTCCACATACTTTAGTATCTCAGCCATTAGAAACATAAATCCGATGTGGGCATAAAAAAGAGTCCATTCAACTGGCCATATGTTGCCAAAATAAATTAAGCCAATTGAAAATTAGTGTCATATTAAATATTGTGCCAAGGCAGTATTTTGCAAGGCATTACATTTTTTTGTGTCAGAGAAACCCATCTGTTAAATATGGAGATCCATCTTAAAACTGAATCTCATCCATTGTTTAAACATTTGGTTAGACCAAAAAAAAAAAAAAAAGATGGAATAGTGAAATTATCCAGACGATGGTTATCAATGAACTTACCAAACAGAGAACTTGAATTAAATTTGTCTCCAATTATCTCAAATGTTGTGAAATCAGAAGGCTACAAACTGTTTAAAGGCATGTTCATCTCAATCGATGTAAATTTCAGATTTTGAAGAATGAAATTGTATCTAGAATATTCTCTCTCTTAATATTATGAAACTAACTAAGAGATATAACTTTGGTGAAGCTAGTAGACATTAAGCAGGAAGGTTTACCTTGATAAACAGAGTAAGAAAAACAGCTTATGTGTCTTTATTCGGTGACTATAATATATCATTTATGTTGTATACGACTACAACTCCCATGTATGTTTGTGTGTGTAAATGTGTACCTGCTGCAGGTCGGCCAGAGAGTACAGGTGGATGTGCTGTAGAAGGTATTCCCTGGGAAAAATCCTGTTAGAGACACAAAAACATTTACTGCATCATTTTCCCCAAAGCAGATCAACTGGTTAACATGAAGTAATTTTACACTGATGAAAACATCTAAAATCTTTCTTACCCATCAGATAAAAAGGAGACTGACCCCAGTGTAGTTTATTATGTGCCACAAAGAGGCACATGATTGTTAGCCTTGTTGTTATTTCAGCATGCAAACATCTGACACCCTGCTACCTCTAAATAAAACCTCAGGATTCCTTCATATGTAACCTAGTTAGTAACCTGGCCATCGCCTTGCTTCGCCATTACGCTCAATTCTCATCTCCCTTCAGTGCTCCGTCTGGGCTTTCTCCCACTGAAGTGGATTTCTACAGTAGAATTTCAACTGGGCCAATCAGCAAAGAGGAGGAGACGTTGTGAATGATGACGACAATTTTCTGCGTTGTTTTAGATTTGCAGTCTGCCTGCAGTTTTAGCAATGGCAGGGGAGGAAGTGAAGGAAGTCGTTCAGTCCGTGCTGGCCACGCTTCCAAATACTGAATTAACATCAACAGCCAGCACTGCTATCTTCTCATCAGAGCATGATTATTTATAGTGCAAGCAATATCTAGTAAGCTTCATAGGGCCAAACAGCCCAAACATTAGCGATTGGATCAAAATTAAAACTTTGAGGGTGCAGTCCTTCTGCACGAAGCAAAGATTAGAACAAGGGGCTCGGTTTTACCAGGCTATCTAATTAGTAAAATGTCCATTTGTGTGTATAAAGCCGTCAATCAATATAAATTGACGGCCCTGTGGAAACCTGAGAGGTTTAAGCGAGCATCAAGAAGACCAAGAAACACAGCCAAGGATTAAGGGTCAGGGTTTAAACCATCATCCCAACCTTTGAACATCCCATGGAGCAATGTTCAATCTGGAAATGGAAAGAGAATGGGATAACTTCAAATCCACAGAGTCATGACCGTCCCCTAAACTGACTGACAAGGCAAGAGAGCAGCAACCAGAGAAACAACCTGGAGACCCATGAAAGCTTAGCTGGGAGAATCTGCAGAGTGGCAAGAAGAAAAGCCATTGTTGAAAGAATCCATTAGGAGTCTTGTTTAAAATTTACCACAAGTCACTTGGTGTTGGTCTGTCACATAAAATCCCACTGAAGTTTGTTGTTGCAACATAAAATGTGAAAAAAAGTGAAAGGAATATAAATAATTCTGCTTGCAGCAGTAATACTTCAAGGTTAGAGATAGTCAATAATAGAAGATTGTCTTCAGTGTGTGAAGACGGAGGCCTCCTCTCAGACAACCAAGATAGACGGAACCGCGTTAAATCCCGTCTGAAGCTGTGATGAGTGTCGCTGTGGTACATGGACGCGTGTGATCCAAATACGCCACGGAAATAGACGCCACCGATAATCTGATGTTTGGCAGGTTACCAACGGTTACCACATCAGCATTCACGACAACAAACACGCGCAGACACAAAAACTGAGATTGTGCCGCGCGTGTTGATCTTGATTAGAAACACTTGAGAGCTAACACATTAGAAGATTAGATTAGAAAGGCCTCACACAGAACAGCAACTACTTAAATATTTGTGTTTGCAAGAACCAATATCCCTCAAGTCTACATTTTACAGCAGTATATCCTGAAGGATTTTTCCACTGCACGGGACACGCCTTTTATTAAAACTGTTATCACTCTGGGATTATGACGGTTTGCCAAAGGAAGGTCTGACTTCACTAAGTGTGTGCAGAATGAAGTAAGTGTTAAGGTGTGTGCACAAAGGTGGCAAATCAAGGCTTTCCATCACCAAGTTATCTCACCCTAGTTGAACTTTCAACAATTATGTTGCTGTGAAGTGTCAGAAAAGCTGCCAGGATGCAAAGTTGCTGATGAAAAGTTTTACTCCAATAAACCTATAAAAAAAAAATTCTGTAAACCGGAGAGTTCAGGAATCATCCTTATTAGTAAACAGAGAAAACACACCAGAAAGTAGGGGATGAAAATGAGTGTTTAATAAGACAAAGCTGGGTTACTAAACATCAACCCAAACTTTGCACATTTCACTACACACTGCTTCCACCTCAAGGTTATGCACTACTGTGACTTATTCTGTCCCATAAAATCACACTAAAACACAGTTATCTAAGGTTGTATTGTGATAAAATGTGACAAAGTTCAGCTACAGGAATGTACATTCATTTTACACACAAGTAGGCATCCTCTGGTTTGATTCAGATGGTAAAACTAAATCAGTTCATAATCAAGTGGACAACAGCAGAAAGAGTTAGTAACTCTTACTGTGCACCATTATGTACTTTCAAAAAAAGACTGCACCAGAATCCCTCCAAAAAAAGATCGGCTGGTCTACTTGTCTGCATTTTTTGTGAACTGATTGCAGGACATGAGTCAACTTGACCACACAACATTATTTATCCCAGTATCCCTGGAAACTGAGGCCCTATCATTCCAACCATAGTTTACAAACAGCTTTAAACAACCAGCTGTGCTTGTGACAGTTTACAGTTTTAATCCGCTCATTTTTTATTTATTTATTTATCCACATCGGCAGCAAAACAGGAGTAAACAGCTTTTAGAAGAACATTTATTAAGCTCCAGTCTTATGACAAGTCGCTCACGATGTTCTGATTGGCTGCTGTTCCCCAGGAGCCCGCCCCCTGCACCTGACGAAAGCGGTTCTTTCCTCTGGTCCAGCAGGAAGCCGGTGCCGGCGTAGCTGGTGTGTTTTGTGGAAACAGAAAGAACTGGAGCGTAGTTAGCACTAGCACCGCTTCAACAGTTTGGTGTAAAAGTTACACTGTGTCTGTGTGCGTGTGTGTGTCCACAGATTTCTCTTTTCAGACCCCCGGCCCCCATGTAGACGGATGACATCAGGAAGGTTTTAGCGCCACAGACCTCATCAATCCTGGAGTGTTTGGAAGTGGTGGGCCGCTGGCCGCCATCGGCTAATGGGACAGAAGTAAACACAGAAAGCCGCAACGCTTCTCCGAGCAGCAACTCGCTTTATTTAGCTGATCTCGGTCGAGCAAAGAAACATGAAAATACTTGAAACTTACTGATGAGAATGTAAAAGTAATGTTTCAGGATTTTCACCGGAGCTGTTATTCGAAAGGAGACGAAACGTCACAAACCAGAGGGGAGGGGTAGGTTTACACTACTGCATGCTCAAATTACGGCCAAACTAGTGAGAAGTTATATAAACAAATAAATAAATAAACGTATGCCTCTGTATACGTCTCGGTTCATTCAGCGAATCATTAACGTCAAAGTTTTACATAAAGCAAATATGTAAGGTTCAGCCTAATGCCGAAACGCCTTCAGTATACCAATCACTAATGGTAAAAATAAGGTTTTTGGTATTCTGTGTAAATACACCATTGGAGTAACACTGTAAAATATTGTGATGACAGTTATGATTAACCCACATGTTGACTCTTTCCTCTATTTTTCCTCCATAATCAAAATGCCCCCACCTCTTCCTGTGAGCGCAGATGCCATTAAGGTATCAAAGGAAATCCATCCCTCCAGTTGAATACATGACATGCATAGAGGTCACGAAAACCTGGCCTATTAGAGTTTGCATCCAAGCAGTCCCTTACAATCTTATTATTGCAAATATTAATATTTTTTGTGTATTTACTAGTGCCATCAATTGATTAAAAAAAATGTGAGCATATTAATCACACTCAGATCATCTGAGGAGATGTTAGAGGTTTGCATCATCACAAATATTTAAATATATGAAACACAGCTTGTGAATTTCACCATATTAGTGGAGGCAATGGAGTTATTTTAACTTTTCTTCAATATAAAAACAACAAAACAGGGGGCCAGTTCAACTGACCTATAAAAGCATCATGTTTTCATTGATTTCTTTACTTGTTCTCCTTCCTTCTTCATCAGTTTCAAGTGTTTCTCCAAATGGCCTTAAGAAGAAATAAAGTAATCTGACTTAGACAGTGAATGTGTAACCAAGAAAACCGAATAGCTTGTGAACCACATTTGACCATATTTAGCTGTTTAATTGTCTAATAAACAAAAGGATATCTGCCTCACACACAAATCACACAAACCTCCACTTTGTATTTTGTTAAAACGCAAAGTTAGACCTAAAAGCTGCAGTCGTACTGTGCATGGTGTCTTGTTGTCAAAAGCTGTAGCAGAGCTGCAGTAATTGGTGTAATTTCATCTTCAGGGTTTCTTTTCATTAAAATGATAGTTTTATTTTAGTTTCCAACCTGCTGTAACATGAAATTGTTCCTAGGGGTAACAAAGCCAATTTGCCGTCCTTGATTTGCTCCACCAGGTTTACAGTCCGACCTTTCACCTTAAAACAGAAGTTTTTTTAAGGGGTTTTCATAAGGCAGCTGTCTAGTTCAAACACATTGAACTAGACAGCTGCCATGTGACACAACTCAAGTTATATTTGTTCAGATGCCATCAGAACTGATTTTGTTTTGTCAGTGTATTTTAACTGTTCATATTTAAAGGCTTATGAAGAGTAAACTCAGAAAGCACAGGTGTGAGAAAACAAGCCAGTAAACTCGTTTCTGTAAATGACTTTTTACATGAGCTCCTGCTCAGTAAGTACACACCACTCGTAATTACACATCATTGCCAAGCTTGTTTGAAAGAATCTTTCAGAAAAGATTCTTTTTAACGTTTAAAATGCATGAACTGAAGTTTATGTGCTGTAGTCGAAGCCTCACTACAGAAAGTTTTCATCTTTTAGGTGTTCATGTTGCTCATGGGAGCAACTTGCAGTGCTCACAATGAAAATGCTCAACAAATTGGGACCGAACGTCATATGAGATGAGAACTAGATTAAGTAAACTCAACCATCTTCTCTTTTTTTTCCCCCCCTTCATGAAGGATCTAATTTGTGTTGCTTTGATGGTTCTGAGTTGTATCGTTTCCAGAGCCTCAGGATGTTTACTTCAGGTTGTTTAAGGAAAGAGCAGCTGCTCACTGCATCATTCAGGATTAACTAACCTTTTACCGGCTGACACATATTCATCATTGCAAAACTTTTCCACCCGGAGCCTCTCACCTGGTTGTTTACTTAAAATTCAGGTGCCGACTCTGCGTTTTAGGGCACAGAAGAGTTCGTTTTCACTCTCAATTTTCTTTTGAAATGAGAGAGCGGCGTGATCGACGAGGGTTCAAAAAGCAGAAGTGAGGTTTCAGGCGACCTACCGTCGCCTCAGGTCTTCGGCGACCGTCGCCCTGCAGCTGAACAGGTAGGCCCTGAGCGACTGGAGCTGCTGACGGAGGCGCAGCACCGAGCTCAACGCTTCACAGTGTTCGTACAGGCAGGGGTTGAGCTGCTGGATGTCCAGCAGCGGCTCCTCGTACACAAACTCCAGGAACTCCTTGGCCTGTTTGGACACCTGCAGGAGCACGTTAAGAGTTTATTCTTGGGTTGTGTGCACCGAGCACCGCCAATACATTACACATAATCCCAAGCAAGCTGTACTTTCCATGCATGTTTTGGATGAAGCAGGCTTAAAGTACAGTCCGACATAAAGGCTGCGGTTTGCGCAGATTAAAAAGGCGGGATGCGACACGCTCGTCTGTGAGCTTTGGATATGCCTGGTGATTTTCTTTACATGGTGAGACAAGGCCAGGCTGGCTGTGTGTGCTTCCCCACCTTGTGTTTACTGGTGTCCCAGTTGTGCAGCAGCCGCGCGGGGATGAGGAAGGAGTTGTCCTGATGGCAGCTCTGGCAGTAGTACCAGCCGCTGTAGTAGCAAACTTTGGCCTTTCCTTTGGACAGGCCGACCGGACGCTGACAGCCTGAGGACAGAGAGAGAGAGAGGGGGTCAGTAAGCATGGGGGCAGTCGCTACTTATGAACAAGGTTTTCTTATATTGTTAAATAAAAATGTTTGGATTTTCCAGATTTACATTTTCAGACCTTTCAGACGTCATTGTAGCCATTTTTTGAAGCAAAAATACAAAGCCTCTCAGTTAATCTTTGGGTAGTCAGACTTTATTTATGGAAAGTGCAAAACCTAAAAACTGTAAAGAAAGAGGGGCAAGACCATGATGCTAATGGAGAACGTTATGATGCTTAAAAAGAAAGAAGTAGGGATGCAACTAGTGATTATTTTAGTAATCGATTAAACAATTATTCGATTAATCGGATAGAAAAAAATGGCACATTCTGCAGATCTTTTTATGTAACCACTTAAAACATTTTTTTTATTAAATATTAGGAATAGATGCCAATACCAAGGTATTCATGCACCCTTCAACGGAAAAAAAAAAACTAAAGAAAGACTATTTAAAAGTTGATGTTTTGAGCTTCAAAAACAATCTTCCTGTCCATTTCATCAGAAGGATTCCTTTTTTTGTAACTCCATCACAAGAACCCTAACTAAGCAAGATCTCTGAACACCAGCAACTCCTACAGACCTTTTTTTTTCCTTTTTACTATTCAGCCTGATATCTTCCCTGGCCTGCTTTGTCTTCTCAACCCTTTAAAGTTTGTGCTTCACCCAAACACCCGGGTCCGCTCTGTGATCAGGAACACCCAAACATCGGAGTGCTGAAGGGCTACAACAGGTGTCCCTTATCCACACCATCTTAGAGGATATAAAGCCTGGAGGGAAATAGAAAGATCCGGAAGAAAAGAAATGGGAGATGGTTATCGGTTATTTCTAAACAAAAGCAGAACCTTACCTAAAAAAACAACAGAAAAAAAAAAGAAAGACGGAAGTAGCTGAACATGTGTCGGCATGTCCACGGTGCTCCAACACGAGATGGAAGAAAGAGAAGGAACAGACTATTGAGAGATGAGAGGAAAGAACGAAGGAGAGACAACAACACGGACAGATTAAGACAGATGGAGGGAGCCAACGCGGCTCAGGTGGCTCGGCTAGCTTCCTGTTATCTCTGTGTCATCTGATCAGCACAAACAATGCTGTAATCAACATTTAAAGCTATATTCATCCTTTATCTGATAAAAGACAAAGAAAAAAGATACCCATGCTGGAACTTAGAGACGCACTGAAGCTGTAAATGTTAGTTCTTTATTGGAGAAGTTATTTTCTTTCCAGTTTTTTTTCTAAATCAGTTGCGTCACTGGATCCCATATAAACACACCAATAAGCCAAACCGTTAAAATTATAGCATAACGTAATATGCATGCTAACGTCAGAGCAAATATTAGACTTCTGGGTGTCTTCTGGGTGTTTGACAACCAGCATGTCATCTGTTGGTTCATGTTTAATGCTTTAGCCTAAAACAGAGCAGATTGCTCCTGTGTATCCAGCCAAACTATTCCTATTTTTGAGAGAGGTCCTATGGAGTCATTATCAGTTTTAGTTCCTTACGTTTAATAACAGACTGTCATATCCTCCTGACTACCAGTAGTTCATTTCTAAACTTGAATATCTCCCACCCTCTGCATTCTACTGAATTAATTCCTTTTGGTATCTGGAGAGGACATTTAGGGCTTTTCAATGATACCACATATGAAGGGGTGGGATTTTTGTTCGTATCTTTTTCTAATACATAAAAATTGCGTTCATCAGTAATAACACATTTTATGGGAAGAGACACAGTAAGTGCATAAAACCTTTTATTACCTTACAAAGAATGTGGGATTTATAAAAAATGGTGATTGGACAATATTTTTTTTCCTTGTAGTCGGGAGGATATTGCTGTGAGTTTAGAGAAAAGTTGTAAATTGTCAGAGACGTTAAAGGCTAACGGCCCGTCTCTTGTTTTAGCTGATTTTAACTGTTTAAAACAACTCAAGTTCAAGCTGTTTCTATCAGGGGGCACAATTACGTTAATGTCAAAGATCTAAACTTCACCTAATCCCACCCAAACTTGTATGTTACAACACGTAAGTTGTGTTTTCAAAAACTTCACCTGGGATTTATTTGGCCAAGAAAACAGTGACAAACATCACACATACGGCTCTGCATTTTAAGGAAATACTATTTTTTTTAGCGTTGGTTCTTTTAAATTGCTAAAATGGAAGATCATCTCACTTACCTTCCACCACTAAACCATGGGCATCGCAGTAACTATGAGTTAAGGGGTCGTGTTTACTGTGCTTTGAAGATAAAAAGTTTAAAACTTCTTCTATTGGTGTTTCATGTTTTCTAACTATTACGTAATGAAATTCACTCAATTTAAACAAGAAATAAAATATCAAAGCTTTAATTCTATGTATTTCTTAGAGATTTAAAATCAAAATAAAAAAATATATATATATATTTTCTGTGGTAATGGAAACCACAAAAATTAACAGTTATGACTAAAAACTACGTCTAAAAACTGACACAAGCCTAATAAAATTAAAGATTAACCAACCACATACTGACATTCATGATTTATAGACTGTAGAAACGGTGAAGCACTGTTGGCTTTATTGTTGTATTTTTACAAAGTGGTGTTTTAGGTGAGCAAAGCAAAAATGTGTAACAAAAGTTACTTTAACATGATTCCTCATTAAATGGTTAATTTCTTACAATACAAGTAAGAAATAGAAGGGAAATCAAGCACGTGTGTATAAAATTTAATCTTTCAGAGTTTGCTAGCGTTAAAAAGATAGAGCTTGGATGGATTTTAAAACACATCGATAATCTGGTAAAAGAAACTGGGTGCAAAGACACACCTTTGTACTGTGATTTTCTTGTACAAGAAGAAAACGGTCAAGTTTGAATTAAGCTGCGTAATAAACTCAAATTTGTTTTAAAATAAATTTCTTATATAACAGCTGCCTGTCTCAAAGGGTCACTACAAAGTTTATTCGCCGTAAGAGAAACCTATTCTGCAGCTGTAAAATCCGTTTCGCATTGACACGAGAGCAAAGGTCTGTGCACTTCCAGCTACGATCCCGACACACAGCCCCGGCCGTTTGGTCTCGTAAAGCTTTGGTACGGATGATTCACATCTGTGACTGTAAGTGTAACTCGGCAACACATCAGTCACACCGTGTTGGCTGGCTTGCCATTAATCCCTTCAGTCGCTACGAAACCTGTACTGGTTTAATAAAGAAAGAAACCTGCTAACATGAGAACCAGTAAGTATTAAACATGGTTTTGTCTTGTTTGTCTGATGTAGCATTGAAATTAACCGAGGAACTGTAATTTGTAAATCAAAATTGACAGAAATGAAAGCTGGAAAACCACCAACCAGTGTGAAATGAATTCATGAGTTTCACTTTTTGACTTGAATTAGCGAGACAAAAAAAAAAAAAAAACACTTCAATGACATTCTAATGTACTGAGACTCACCTGCATACATTTTCTTGCAGATACCATTTAAAAAAAACCCCAAAAAACCAACATCCATAGTGCATATTTTTAGCTTCGATAAAGTTGGGCTAATTATAGAGGTGAGCTCATGCTGGTGTTTGGGGTGGATGCTCTAGCAGTAAACCACAGTCCACCGGTGGCGAGCCAGCACGCCGGGGCCATGGTTAGCAGTCAGGGAAACACTGTGTCACTTCGAGGAAGCAGAAAACCGCCAGAGCAGTTCGCCGGCCATATGTGGCCTCGGATTTAGTCTGCCTCTGCTGGGACCGCGGGAACAAAGAGGCTCACGTAAAAAAGCCCAGAGACGCTCGCGAAACCAGAAAGCCTTTACCTCAAATTCTATATCATGAGTACAAGAGGTCGAACACACCCACACAAACAAACGCACGGAGCCAAGAGTTTGTCCAACTGCGCGCTATAGCATCTCTACAGAGGAGGACGAGTTTGACAGAAAACATCAGCTGCACGGTGGAAGACTGACAAGAAGCAAATAGCTGTAAAATCTTGGATCACTGAGCTGTTATTATGAAATAAGGAGTGTTTATATTATATGCATATAAAATCTAACTTGAGGACTTTGTGAGTCAGACTGACATAGTTTGGTCTGTGCTTACTAATAGTGAATTAACCAGAGAAAATTAAGGGACTACTTAAACTAAACATGTTTTATTTATTTTTTGACTGACGCAGCCTCTTTTTGCATAAAAAAAAACAACTAATTCAATTAAATTGATCACACAGCTATAATTAGCCCATTTAAATTTGCCTCAGTAATATAAACAACGGCTTGATGAGCTGAAAAAGATGACATACTTGCGTTTACCAAAATAAAACACAGCACAGTCCCTGATTTAACGAGTTTTCATCTGTCCACTCCTGCTTAATTCAGAAGAGATTCAAGCAAATTTTTCCAGGCTGGCTTTAAAATCCTCCCTGACCGATCTCGATCTTGGTATCCTGCCACATATAAACACAATTTGCTTCAGTTCCTTTAAGAGTTTTGCAGCCTAATAACTCCATAAAAACCAGAGGAGTTTATAAGCTCTAGATGAGTCTAACAGAAAGCGATCTAAAAAAGAAAAAGGCATAAATGCTCTTGATTTGAAAGATGTGTGGTTTTAACACTCAAAACTTCACCACAGATGTTGTCCAATGCAGTCTCATAATTCACCTTGACGACCTTCCATCTGTGTGTCCCAGGACAGATTGTATTCCAACTGCTAAACTAACACAGATAAAGTAACTCTGTCAATTTATCTGCATGAAATGTTCCCTTCAAATAGATTGAACACCTTAGAAAAGAATTACTCAGTACTGGGGATTTATGAACGCCATGATTTCTGGGTGTTATGAAGGGTCTCTTCTGATTTTGGGGTATTTAATAGACAAAGAAGTATACATTATTGTCAACGGCATTACAAGAGTTTTGGTTTGTTGTTCAGATGGAGACAGTCATCAAGAGGAACCATCATGGCCTTCAAGATTTCAAAACACAAAAACTTCAACTTCAGTTCTGATTTTTTAAGATCATACAAAGCCCCTTTTTTTTTTTTTCTTTACGTTGTTATTTTATTTTATTTTACTTTTTCTTCTTGAATGTTCGAGTAACAAATAACAGTTCAACCAGCAGAGCAACAACTGAATTTTCTGCTGGTCTCTGATCTTTTATGCGTCTTTCTGGGATGAAGAGGAAGAGGGACAGAGGGAAAGATGAATGGGAATTCAAACGTGGCTCAAAGGTCCACCGATTGTACTGCGGCTCTCTGTAGTGAGAGAGGGTCACTTTGACCTGTTCACACCGGGAGAGAGCGCGAGAGAGAGGGATACGGAGAGACAGGGAGAGAGAGAGATGACATCAGGGCAAGAAGAGGACTCCTGCTTTCATCTGCCCGCCGCTGGTTCAAACCACCACACCTCTGACAGGACACTGCTGTGTGTGTGTTTGGTCTGTACATGTGTGAATTAAAACTGAAAAGACGAGAAGCGTGAGCTTTGATGTTCCTCATTCATAGCGACCAAACACTCAAATGAAAATGTGAACAAATGGAGAGTCTAAGATTGTGTGTGTATGTGTGTGTGTGTGTGTGTGTGTGTGTGTGTGTGCGTCTGAGACTGTCAATCTTTTGAAGTGAACCTCCAACTTCCGCAGTTCCCTTGAATTTACCGATTCCCACTTCACTCGAAACACCCCGCCACACCCGCCTTTCGAAGCTAATGGACTGACATGGTAAATCAGGGGCCTGAGAACGGGATCCAGTGCAACAACAGGGCCACCAAATCAGGAGGCCATGTGTGTGTGTGTGTGTGTGTGTGTGTAAATCGCATATGTGTGGAGAGGTTAAGGGAGCAACAGGGAGTCAGTCTTCAAACGTAAAGCATTTCCTATAAAAGGAATGTAAAAAGTAGCTAGCTTTATGTACAGTAGCTAGCTGAATACATTTTTTTGCTAAGCAACTAGTTGTTTGATACATATGTGGATGGAAGCAGCAAATGCTGGAAAATCAGATTAAGAGAGATTAAGAAAATAAGAGTGGAAACTGAAGATGGGTCTAGCAGCTAATGACCTGTTTGTTTTAGCAGCTTGTTGCTTGTAGCCTTAACCACCGTTAAGTCAGTGAAGATGTCTGCACACAACGCAATCTTTTGCCTGACAGAAAAAACCTGAGAGAAGATAACATCATAGATTCATATGAGATTAAATATTTAAGATCTGTGACACATTTAAGGCCGGCTTACATTTCATTTAAAGAATTTAAGACATTTTATTATAGTACCTCCGCTAACTGTCGCAGCTAACCTGAGACAAATAACAGATTGTCTCCGATCTGATTCTCATTGAAATGTTTCATCTTAAAAAAATGATAAACAGCAGAACACCATGGTTTTAAAAATGGAAAACTAATTATTCCTCTTTTGTACTGGAATATTTCTATAAGTGCTTTACAGTATGTAGCCTTTAAAGTAGGTGAACCTGCATCTAGAATACACTTTTCCATTCAAGGAGCCACTTTTGCAATCAGTACCACAAAATAAAACTCGTATATTGAGCCTCAAAAAGTGATTTTATAAATACATCCGAAATCAAATGTTTCACTATGAAAGCAAAGGAAATGAAACTAGAATGTATTTGTTTTCTATAAAATGGAAAATGAGTAAAGATAGGTAGCACAGTTTGTAGTTGGTTACTTTTAAAAGTTTGTTGTAGATGCTGCATGCATAAGAACTTACAGGAAAACTATTTTGTTCAACAGCAAAACCATTTTTCTTCTTTTTTTTAAGAGCCACAGTGGCGGACCCAAAGAGCCAAATGGGACCCCAGAGCCGCAGGTTTAAGACGCCGGGGTCACGAAACTTCATGTCCCCTTAATCTCTAGTACTGAAGCAGCTCATGCTGGATGAGTGAAAAAGGAGGAAAAGCAGTAAAAGAAAAAAAAAATTGCCTGTAAAAATCTAAAATTACATTTTTTAATCTAAATTTTTAAACAGAGTTGCAGGTTTCTGCTAATTAACACAGCAGGAGAGTAAGAAGGGATACTGTCCCTTTTGAACGGGTGGACAGCGGGAGAAACGGAGACAAAAACAGGACATGGCTATGAGCATGAATGAACTGGTGAAAGCAAACAGAATGAAAAGGTAGAAGAGAAGAGCAATAAACGGGCTGAAGGAGCCGAGGTGCGCGCTCTATAGAAAACAGACGTATCCAGCTGTCCCGTCCATCCAGCTCTGACCTGAAACCCCTCCAACAAACCCCTCCGCTCACAGCTGTCCACTGTAGCGTCCCCCGGGCAGCTTTCATTTGCTCTCATTCACCCACAGGTTCATTCATTCATCCATTTTTCCTCTCCACCAACGCTTTAAGCCCGCCAATTATCATCAGTTGGCCCCGGACGGCCCCCCATCCTTGTTCCCGTTTCAGCTGTCCTTTCAGACAGAACCCGCATTAATAAAGCCAGTGGTTACAAATAAAAAGGGAGGTGAGCTGCGATTATTCAAAGCCCTCCAAAAGAGAGAGGGAGAGGAAGCCCACGTTTCACACCCAAAGGGAGTAAAAGCGCCGCCTGCCATTCGCGAGGTTGTCCAAGGGTCTGGTATGAGGACTAACTGGAATATTAATGGAGAAGGCAGGGATTTAATAGTCCTAATCTGAAGCAGGGATTTAAGAGTACATTAAGAAGAAGAAAAGAAAATCTAATAAAAGTGAAGTTAACCGAGGTCATGCAGTGGTTTGGGAGTCTTGATGAAAGACCTCCATGTTTTACTCAAAGTCCACATTATTAATGTACAAGTTAAAGTAAATGTGTAATAATAATGTTATAAAAAAGAAAATATGATGTTGAGTAAAGACGTTTAAAGAAAAAAGTTAAAGCAGCAAGGCATGACGTAATCCAGTTGCTTTTATTCCTGCCACCACTGGAACGTGACACGCTGATAATCACTGTGGGGTTAAAACAATTAACCGGATTAATAGAGATTAATCGATTGTTCAAATAATCGCCACCTAATTTAGTAATCGATTAATCGTAAACTGAAAGAAGGCCATTTGCTGAAGGAACGACAACCTCAGAGCAGTAAAACTGTAAAATAAACATTTACATTTAAGATGGAAAAAAAAAAATTTGTCTGTTTATATGGTTGGTATATAATCATCCTACACTGTATTGATATTAAGTCAATGTTATTCTTTTAGCTACATCCTTTGTTACAAATGATCAAGTAAAGAAAAGCTGCATTACTGCATTTTAAGCAATAAAATGCTTATTTTCCTACTTACAAAAGGAACTGAATTCTTTGTTTATTGGCATCTTTTAATGCATTTCTAAGACTGTATAAGAAAACCTTAAATTAAAAATCTACAGAATGCGCCAGGTTTGGTTTACCAGATTAACTGATTAATCATTTGAATAATCAACAGATTAATCGATAAATAAAGTAATTATTAGTTGTAGCTCTGAATTACTGTTAAAAAAAAAGTGAAGTATACCTTCTGTTCAAGATGAATTTATTACGAACTAATCATTTGCTACATTTAAGAGTAGCTACATTTCTTACTCCACACAGCATCACTGGGTAATTAGACGAGCTATCTGCTCAGGTAGCCAAACAGACTCTTTAACAAACACGCTGCTTTTTTCATTCCAACAGCAGCTTCAAAACAACGTTAACATGAACAGCAGCCACGGATGGAGCTGCTTTAGTTTTCACACAGTAACAGTCTTTTTCAAGATGAGCCATTTTCAAAGAAAAAGCATTGGGGACATTATTTTCCAACTAGGTGATCAGCAGAGCACAGCAACAGGTGGGTTAGAAAGAGCACCGCTCCCCACAGCTCATCTCGTTAAAAGGGCTTTTAGACCGAGGGAACATCATGAAGGAATCTCCTACCAGTTTTGATCTAACTGCTGGGTAGAGATAAAAGGCTACACACCTCCTTGTTAGGCCTTATAAATACGATATTTAATTTGGGTCTAGAGTAGCTTCTCTTAGAACTGGATGAGGAAGTCTCATGTTGACGGTAAGCGGCTACACAAGCAGAAGGTAAGCCAGGGGAATGCTAAAAATGTTTCACGTTAGGAGGCTCAAAATATCACACGTCCAATGAAGCCGTTTTTAACTGCAAGTTCAGGTCGACCAGTCCTCGTTTTTAGGGCTGTAAATGTGACTCTTTTAGCCCGTGGGTCCTGTGGACATTTAAACTAACCAAAGACATTTAAAGGCAGACTTGGTTAGCCCATTTCAATGTCAGTAAACATCTTTACGAGGACGGCTTCACACTTTTGGGCCACAGTTTGTTGCAGCCGAGGCAACGCTGTAGTCATGATTGTGCTCGACATGATGCAGCACTGAAGTATTGGTAATACATATAGAGATTTGATGCTCGTCTGTCGTTTTAAGAAGCAGAACGTATGTTGTTGTACTTTCTGCTGTGAAATGATCTCACTAGGAATTTGGTGGTGTCTGTAAATGTCACTTACCTGCACACCTGAAGCTCTGAGCGGTGAGCCCCTTCTCCACAGCCAGGCAGGTGAGAATACTGAGGAAACTGGTGGTGACGGACTGCCGCTTGGCTCTCTGGGCCTCCTTCTGCCTCCTGTCCCTTGATGGTTTGGACCTCAACAACACTCCTTGGAGACCGGGAGGTCCGTCTGATTCTCTCTTGTCCTCTTGCGTGGGCTTCTGCGCGGCCACCGCCTGCCGCAGCGCCTCCACCCATTCCTGGGCTTTCAGGTGATCATCCGCCTTGAGCTTGAGGATCTGTTTGGGGAAAGCGGCCTGGAAACACTGCCATTTATCCGCCCACGACTCTCCGGCCTCTGGTACGAGATCCTGTTGTACTGACGAGCAGGAAGCTAGGGAGAACTGGAGGACCGGTTGGGATACGGACCCCCTGCCTTCAGTCGGAAAAGCTTGGAGAGCAGATCTCGTCAAGACAAAGGTGAAGGGCCGCCAGTTGTTCTGATCCATCAGCAAGTGGAGAAGTCCAGCTTTCAGCACATCCTGGAAGCGCTGGTTAAACAGAGGGAGGGTGGTTGGCCGACTCAACACTCCAGAGTTCACAGAAAGCGACGCCTCGGATGAAGTTGGGGTGTCGCTATCCCCGTCGGGTCGGGTGTCGAGCCCAGAGGGAGAGGGCGACGAGGACGGAGACATTGGTACGGGAAACATCTGCTGAATCTCCACGCTATTCTTATGCTTGCGGTTGTCCTGCCGCGCTGGCCTCGCTGCCTGAACCTTCTCCCACATCAGCCGCCGCCACTCCATCGCCTCCCACTGGTTGGCCGCCCTCAGCTGGAGACGTGTGCTGTTGAAGAACAAGGCCTGGAGTGTGCGCTTGTCGCCAGGCTGGCTCATCTGACTGGACTGGCTGCAGGGTGCCGGGGCGATGACGCTCTGGCAGTGCGACAGAGAGTAGGCAGTGCCCAGTTGGCGATTGGCACTGCTGTCCAGAGTATAGAGCCGCAGCTCACAGGGAGTCAGCTCAACGTAGCAGGATGCCCAACGGCCCCGTGGGCCTTCGCGCTGCTCCATCTCGCCTTGCTTCACCACGCTGCTGCTGCTGCTCTTGTCAACTGGAAGCAGAAAAGGAGAAATGAGATAAATGACTCATATTTGCATGTTTGGAATCAGTTCATTCAACGTACAGAAAAGCAACCCACTGATCATCCAGCTGGTACTTCTGTGCACCCAAACAAGGAGTTACAAGAGCTGGTTTTCAGAATTTCCAAAAGTGATTAAAAAAAAGTTTTTTTTTTGTTTTGTTCAGATAATGCTTCTCATCATCAGTCCTACAGGCACTTTGTCTGCCTACAGGGCTATCCATCAGGTTTTCCTTAAATTTGACTTGGAATCATTTTCACAGTGTTGTTAGACAAACGACTGAGGTCTGTCGGTCACCATGTGTTCACACTACTGCTGGTGGAGAGACTGTAAGAGAGTATAAAGGTAAAGACAAGATCAGACTTTTGTGTCTCGTCTTATGTGCCTTGTCTGTTTGACTATTAATCTGCGTTCTGTGCAATGACAGTAAATCTAACTAAACAATCAATATAACGCCGTCAAATGCCCTATGAAATACTGAATAATGTTTTTAATGCAATGAAAATACTGAAACCAATAAAAAGAGGAACAAATTAGCAACCTGAAAAACAAACTCAGAAATCTGTTTCAGCTTTCACACAAATAGCAAAAGTATGAAACGGAACTAAAGAAAAATGGAACAACGCACACCAGCACTTAAAATAGGGAAGAAAGCAAAGCAGGATTCATAATGTCTAAAATAGAAACATGATGCACCAAGATCACTAAAGTCTGGATCCCTGTTTCTAAAAAAAACACAGCGAGCAGAGAAAGACACGAGCTCAATGAAGACTGTAAAGACTGTACGCATCGAGCCAAAAACAAATGAATAAGCAACGCAGGTTTGAGGTGATGTGCTGTCAGAGAATTATAGTTACTTTCTTATTCTTAATAATATATTCCAAGTGTTATGAACTTGCATTTTTTATGCAAACGTAATATTGGGTCAATGAACTGATGCTCCCACCTGACACTAATGACAAAGTTAGGGGTGCACCAATTTGCAATTTTCTGGCTGATCTGATCTTTAAAAAAATCTGACCTGCCGATTTAGTTTTTTTTCTTCTAGTAGGGTGACTACTGTTCACCACAGATGTGAAGACGTGGCATTTTGAACGGGTCCATCAATCAGTGCTCTCTCACAGCAGACAGAAATGGGACAGTGGCTGATTTTCAGACTTTTGTGGCGACTGATAAGATTGATTTCTCATATAAGTATCGGTCACAGATCTTCCAAAATTAATTTAATTAAAATGAAGCCCTGGTTTATAACTGCAACAAATGACAAAAAGAGAAAAGAAATGGACATATATGGCAAGTGATATTGTCATCACAATGTATATATAACCTTTATCACCGCTGCAAGGTTTCTTTATATTGTGTAGCCCTAATCCTTTACCTTTTATCAAAATAAAACATGATTGTTTAAGCTTTAAAACTGGTTTAACCTGAAAAGTTGTTCTTACTGGGTTAAGAGATTTAATTAAAATAGCAGCAATCACAATCAGTTTCAAAACCAGCTTCGCAATCTCATTTAGTTGTAAAGCACAATACATAGACGAAATGGGGCAAAAATGCATTTTGTTTCTTTAATGCACCGGATCACTCATCTAGAAAGCCGTAAGGGGGAAATAAATCACGGCTCTGGTTAGCCTCGGGGTGGCGAGTGCAGGCTGTCATCAATCTTATCAAACCGGCGGCAGACATGGAGTCACTCAGGATCACGGACCTTGGATGTTAACAAAGATTTTGCTAAAGGGACTAAATAAATATGCAAATAGGATTAACCGGAATCAGGTCTAACTCATTGGCAGACTTTACGCTTGGGGAGAGTCGAGATGAGAATTAGGAATAGCGGAGAGGAAAACTGCTTTATTTAATTAGCCTTCATGGCTACCTGCTGGGTTTTTACACCACGCTCTAATAATAGTCCAACATCCATACGCACCGGCTTTCAGTCATAGCTAATACTTCACGCTCAACACCGCTAAATAACTCTCCAGTGTTTCACTCAATCATGCTGCAGACCTCTGATATATAAAACAAACTAATTTCCAGTTTGACGGTTTTACCTGCTGTTATAAATTAATACAACTATTCTCTAAAACAAAGTCCTTTCTTGTCACTCAAGTCATCGCACATTTTTGGTGCGCAACGCCTGTGTGCAATGGTAAGAAAAAAAGACTAAGACCTAAGCTGTACTTTTGGTGGTTAACGCTCACCAAGTGCAGTTGGGAGACTGTTTAAGGGTAAAGGAGGAAAAGAGTAAGAAAAAAAAAAAGTAATTTTATTGCTATTGAAAATGTCACTGGAATTTTCAGCAGCAATATTTCAATAACATCCCTTATTTTGACATATGAAATGAAAAGCAACATGCTGATGAATATTAATTTTCTTAAATGGCTAAATGAACTCGCAGTTTTTCTAAGACGAGTGAGGCTTCTGTGTATGATCTGTCTCAATGACGTGACGTGCCACAAATAATCTTACTTCACAAACTAAGTATCAACAGGTTAGTTTTTAAAATATATTCAGGAAAAAAAAACAAAAACGCCACAATTCTGAGAAGCAAGAAATATCTTCTCTAATCAAGACCAAAATGAATCTTAAAGAAATCTCACATGGTCTAAATGCATATACAGTATGCATATTGTTTACATAAATCTGTGCTACTCGTTTCTTTTTACCATCTAAACATCCCCAGCTGTCACTAATGGAAAGGCAAACAGGCCCCCTATTTGTTATTTATGTGAATAAAGAGGCACGGCGAGGCCCAGTAAATCACTTTGGCTTCTGCTTATTACCGTCTTTTTCCTACTTCTCGTCTTTCAATGCACATCTCGCCAGTCTAAACAGCCTGATACCTTTTCACACATATGCTAATACTAAATAATCCTGCCAGTATCAGCGGCTGGGTAATTGGGTTGCCTCCTCTCTCGCCTCATTTGAGTCCATTTGCTGACAGGATTACAGGCTATTATCCCTCAGGATCCCTTCGGATCTCCTCAGGTCTTCGGATAGCCAAAACACACAAACAAATGAGCTATCCGCGAGTGTGTGTGTGTGTGTGTGTGTGTGTGTAGCGCTCTCAGTCTGAATATGGACGGTCAAGCCACAGCTGTGTCATTTTAAGTTATCATCATCTTCTATCATTATTGCTTTCTCTGGGGATGCTTCAACCTAAGTACAGCACACGCCCCGATCTGCAGTACAAATAGTCGGGGACTTCTGTCCTCCATAAGCCTCTCAAAAGCTGAGAAAGCTTTTCATTGAATGGACTGCCGATCAGAACAGGGAAGGGGAGGGAAGGCTCGCTCAGGTAAGGGCCAGCCTTCTGGTGAGAATCAAGAATACTTCAGGTTCAACGATTTTGGTCAACAGAGGCCATGACATCATCTTCAAAGAGCGAAAGCAACAATTTGCAGCATCAATGTCCAATTAGGCAAATGCTATGTCATTAAAGGGTCAGTTCACCTAAATAAGAGAAATTACACCAGGGGGCAAAACTGTAAAAGCACACGCACACGGATGAAGTTAACAATGGCCACCTGATAAACGCTGCCAGGTTATTAGTGCATGTGCTGGGTGAAGAATATATTAATTGCAAGAGCTTACTACAGCTTACTTGGGAAAGCAAGGAAGCAATAACAGACAGAGACAAAAATAAAGGCTTTTGCAGGGTCGCTTCTCGAACACCAATATTCATCAACAATAACAGCATGTTGCTAAAGTGAAGATTTTTCTTGGAGTTGTTGTGAAACCAAGAGTAGGAAACAACAGAATTTCCAATTATGCAACAAAGGAACCACAATATGCTCATCACAGGCTGAAAGTTTTCGGAACATGGCTCTCATCACCACCTGACACACATTCAGCTTTTAGGAGACATCTCTTTAAAACGTTTTCCTCCACTTGTGAATACACTTTTTATGAACATGCAGCTCTATGAATGACAATTTAAACAGAAAACAATAATACCGGACACAGACAAACGCTTCAGCATGAAAATAAAGGACGGTGTTCCTTTGGTAATACATTTTTTTAACAACTATTCTGGTTTAAGAACTGCTGCCAAGTGTACATGAGCGGTGAAAGTGTGTGTTGCAGTTCTGGTTGATTCCAAGCAGCCTGGTTCACATGCAGTCAAAATATCAACAAGCAGACATGGGGCCTCAGACCAGGGGTCAGAGACAAAAGTGGGTAAAAAATCTTAGTATACTGTAACTGAACATGAATTTTCATGCTACAAACTGCATAACATCTACAATAGGAATCAATTTCAATCCGTTTTGTCATCATTCTTTTTAAGCTTCATCATCAAATGAAGGAGGATCTTGTCCGTGCACTCACCGTCCTGCTGCTGGTTGAGGATCATGTTCTTCAGCGTGTCGCAGTCCACCGCGGGCAGCCCGTTGTCCGTGTACGCAGACGGACGGTAGTTGACGTCCGACCTGGACCGATTGTGTCCTTTCTTAAACACCGACTTCGACGAGGCGTTTCCTGCGTTGTTGGCGCACTCCTGCATGTGGGCCACCAGGTCGTTGGTGGAGCGCGCCCGGCTCCTCTTCCCGTGCCTCAAGCCCATCCCCAGGCCCAGAACGCTGAAATTGTCGGCCCAGGCCAGGCCGAGGGGCCCCACCTCCGGCTGCTCTCCGGCCAGCAGGTTCCACACGCCGCTGGAGCTCAGCTTGCCCAGAGCGGCGCCGGACACGTCCTGTAGCTGCTTGGGCGCCCTCGCAGGCTGGCGGTTGCTCGATTGAGCGAGGCTCGGGCCTTGACCCTGGATCCCAGCCATGGAGTGGATGAAGTCCTCGGTTGCTTCCAGAGCTGGGCTGATGTCACCCACCACATCAAGCTGCTCAAGGCCCTCCATGGCTGTGAAAGGACGGCACTTCCCCTGAGTAACTAATCTTGTAGCAAGAGAGTTTTCCAGAACAGGAACAAAAGCCCTGCAATCATGACCACTAAGCAAAACTAGCATTTACAAGGACATAGCAGAGTCTTCTGGACATTAGAGTCAGGTATGAATAGAAGAACCATCTTCAGGATGTCTGAGAATTTCTCAAATAGTTGCTAGAAGTCCGACTGAAGATGTCTTCCGCTTTTCCTTTTCCAGTTCTGAAAATTTGCTTCTTTCTTCCGTGAACACACAAAGATGCCTGATTAGAAATTTGCTGTGCTGACACTGAAATCAATGTTCTGTTTTCAGTTGTCAGGTGGTTATGAGGTCAGACGGCGGACAGCGTCTGGGCCGTTCTCTGTAACAAAAGAGAAGAGAGAAAGAGGAAGTGAAGACAAGATGTGCAAAACCAATACCAAGAACAGATGCGCAGCTGACAGGAAGAAAGCTGTCTCGGGTTTTTTTTTTCTTTTTTTTAAAGTAGCAACAAAACTACTTCATGTCACAGTTGATTTTGTTCATTTAAAACAAGTGTTTGTTGAAGCAAGCTTACCAACGGTATCTCGATTAGCTGAATAGAGTTGGTCATCCCGCCATTTACGTCCCAGTGAAATAATGATGGACTTCCTCCTCTGGTGCTTATCGGCAGACTGAGCAGCAGAGGAATCAGGCCAGGGTGGGGTTACCATCCATCTGCCTGACATGCCCATCCGTCCTCATCCTCCTCCCTCTATATACTGTTTGTATACGCTGGGTCATTTGTGCTCCTATTGATTTTTTTCTTCCTCCCCCGTTCATATATTAATTATTTAATGGACATTACATCACTAGAATGCAATGTCTGCTGGGTTCAAATATGTACAAATCATTCAAGACTACAAAAGGGAACTTTCAAAGAGGATTTGGTGGCAGCAGAAATATTCTTGATTTTCCTTTTTAGATATTAAAAATCTTTAAGATTTAGATCTGTTTTTTTTTTGTTTGTTTTTTTTTGTTTTTTTTTTACTTTAAGCTATTTCCCCCAAAAAAGACAGGAAAAGACTTGAGACCTACGAGTATAAGATGACATGTCACAAATGTCATAGATCCATTTTATTTTTCCATTGTCTAAATTCAAAAGATTTGTAGCTTCATCACTTTGGAGCAAATTCTTAGCATTGTCCAGTTTGTAATAATTAACATTTTACCACGCACACCCACCACATTTAGAATGACATCATGTGCCTGCAGACTCAGCTTTGAGTTCATCGTCATAGTTACTCATCAAACTTCCTCCTGATCTCCACATGAATCACAAAAAACCAGACCGGCTGCCAAATCCATCTTCTACCAACCAACTAACAGGGATGCTGGAAAATATTACTTCTATAAATATTACACGTGAATCACAATCTAAATGCACCAATTGTTTCCAGGTACTGCTCTGCTGTTTTTACCACTCTGGGAACTTTTTGTGTTTTTCCATGCTATATTTTTGAAGGAGTACTTTTTGATGACAAACGCAGTGCTGGCCGCGTAATCACCATCTTCAACTGAGCAGATATGATTAACAGATGCCCACAAGTGGGATAACATTTGTCACCAATGGTTTGAGTAATATTCACCTGGAATACTGGATTTGTCCTCTGTTCTTGTGTCAAAGCTTTGGCTTGTCTGTCCAAATGACTTTATTCCATAAGTTCAGATATTTGTCTATGTTCTCTCTGACAGACTGTGTGGAATTCCTCTTTTCTTTTCTTTTCTTTTCTTTAAGAGATCAAATGTTTTCTCCCTGCACAACTCCAATGAAAGTTAAATATCTTCCGTCAACTTTTGATTGTAGCGGTATATACTTTCATATCTTCTGCTGCTAGAACCTGCTATAGAGACAGTTTTTTTGGTTTTGCTTCTTTTAGCATCATGCGGTCTGCTTTCAGGGTGAACCATCTTGTACGACCATGTTGGCATGTTTTGTTTTGAATATCCTTCTCAGTGGAAAGAAGCACCTCTTTAAATCACCCAACACTTTCACGCTACTCCAGTCCTTGATGTCCCAGAAGGCCTGATTCGATACACCTGTGTACAATTTTAGCCATTTTAAATGGAAAAAGATGGCATTTTTTAATATTTCAATTACATAAACTTGAAAAGTATGTTCTTGTTTAAATTATCTGCTGTCTCCGTATTGTCCCAAAATGTTAAACAACATAATCTGTGAAGGGTTCTATAATTCTTTCACATTACACTAAAATGTAATGTGATGTCTTTTTTTTTTATCAGGTCCATAGAGTGCACCAAAAACAACAGAACTAAAACTATGCAATAGTAGACATTAATGAAATTGCAATATTATTTAATTTATGTTGTGGTGACATCTGATGAATCAAGATGCTTCTAGAATGGTCTCTAATCATCTACTGCAGCCAGACTCCATCCAACAGGCCAAATACATTATTTGATATGCAGCTTAAATTCATGACACAGCAAATATTGCATTCTTGTAATATTAATTTGAAGACTATTACATGTCTTCAATACAACATTACACTTAAGTTTACCAGTTTTACCAGGACAATTTCATTCATATTTCTGTAAAAACTCAGAAATGTTCATGTATAAAACAAAAAGGCAAATATACACTCCATAATGATGTTGTTTATCAAATTCTTGACAAAATGTTTACTTATTTTAAGTAAAATAAAATACATATGAGGAGTGGTTTCTTTAAAATGTCTGATCAGGTGGATGTTGCGTTTTAATACTAAATTTTAATAGAAAAATGTTCTCAGGCTGGAAGTTACAGGGGTGACGCGTACTTCATGTACTCTGAGAAAAGCAAAGCAAATTGTGTTTTCTTCTCTTAATTATTTTTTTCTCCAGTAAAAAAATCGACTTTGTTCATATTTAACTCAATAAATTCGTGATAAACCTGAACCTAATGAGATTAAAATCATCTGAGAGGGACATCAAATTGTCATTCAACACATTCTCCGCTAATTAACGAGTTTCGTTGAGAAAAAAATCTCTACAGGAAGATTTCACCTCAGAGTAAAGATGCTAGTCGCTGTCAGAAATCAATAATCAGCAGCTTTCACCATCCAGTCCTACTCAAGTGTTTGCTTCCGAGTCCATTAAGACTCAGCATCTTTGTAGAGACCGAATTAAAGCCACAGTCAGCTTTCTGTGTAGTTTTAGTAATTGACAATGTACCGCACACTCTTCTCTTTAAAATTACCGCTTGCAAACTACACAACTAATTTCATTAATCTCATATTTGACCGGCAAATCTGCTTGAGTTAGGCCTATTTATGCTTTGCTAATGTGAGCTAATAGCTAACGGTAGCCGCTCTCCATCATGGATGAATGTCACATTAACATCAACGATAATGTCTCACTGACTCTGAATACATCCACCATGTTTTACTGAACCGATGCTGTATTGTCTGGCGGTAAAACTGCCGTCACGCCCCAACCGGCAAAGGTAAATAATACTCACCTTACTCTGTTTACCATTATGTCATTCCAGTCCGTCAGCGCGGAAGTCCTCGGCGTGAAACTCAGACTGAAGAATAAGGTTCCACAAAACGTTCTCATGGAAATTAAAAAAGGGCTGATGCCCAGAAAAACATTGACCAAAATCCGACGCATTGTATAAAAATAATAAAAATAATAAAATAAACAGACGTGTAGTATTTATTTAAAATAATAATAAAAAAGCAAATGGCTTGTTTACAGCTCTGTCTTTACGCAAGAAAATAATGTCACAATACATTAATTCCTATTACACTATTGATAGATTAGGGGAAAACATCTCAATTCAATATGTTAAAAAAAAGCATATCTACTTAGTTTGTTAATATGTCTGTTATTTAAAAAGTGATCAAAAATTTTATTAAATAAACACGGTACACCATTGGGATGAAAAAGGCCCAGTAAGATGTTTAAAGCATGGGAAGAGGGGAAGCTTGTTTTATAACCTGATCCTGCTTTAAATTTCATGATGATGTTCGTTCACTAATGTCCTCTAACAAACATTTCACAGAACAGATTAACTGGGATTCATTAAATTACAAACAGATGAACTCTATTTTCTAATTATGTGACCTATGAGGACAATTGTTTGCAGTGTATTGTATTTAGGGGTATCAGAGTAAAGATGTTATAAGGTTTTGAAATGTTTTCCGTCCTCCTCAAAATTAGCTGTACTGTGGGTTTATCTGTCAGTTATCATAATAAATGCTCTGAACACTTTGGTTGTGATGTGACAAAATGTAAAAATGTTCTTCTAATGTAAATAGTGTTGCAGAACAATCTGTATGCATTCAAAGTAAATATAGTCATTTTTTCTTTCTCAAGAAATGAGAAGTTTGTAAGACACAATTTACATAGCTGAATTTTTCAATATTGTTTTATTCAGGTAGACATGTTCAGCAGTTTCCCAATTAGTCATTTTATTAACAAAGGTTAAACATTTTTTGAAAAACATAAACATTTTATTAATTTATTTATTACCCACACAACTTCATAGATCTCCATAAGCTCATAAAGTAAGCTATGAGAATCAACGAATTATATCAGAAGACACAATAATACTATCTGTCAGACTGAGGAACAGAACATCTTATTTGATTTATTGTACAATAACCCCCAACCCCCAAAAAACACTTCTTACAATATAATAAATAAAGCAGATATCATCATCATTATTGCTGTTATTTTTGCTAAATTGTTCACAGTATAGTTTTACACCTATATTGATTGTAATTGATTTTGCTGTAACTCTTTGCCGGCATTTTTCATGTCAAAATAGGACACGTTGGAGAAACATCACACTTTTTTTCCTCCTGTTTCCATTCTTCATTTTAGAAACGAGGATCAAAGTTATTTTCCGAAATCTTATAAAACCTTTCAGATTTTTCAAGAACCGTGTTCTGATGTGTTTTGCATCAAACCAATTCTGAAACACATAGTGCATTTCCATTATTATCATTACCATAAAATGGGATGAAAATCTCTAAAAAGCATGATCAATACCAAGGATGGCAGGCAGGATGTAGTACATTTACTTAGTCTCACAAAGAAAGGTCATGAAATACGTCTGCTCTGACAAATTCAGACCAAAATGAAAAAGGGCCAGAAGAAAGGAGGACACAGCCGAGGTGGAGAATGGGCTTCTGCTAATGGGCTCCTTGAAGCTGACCTGCCACCCAAAGTATCCGTCTAACGTGGTAAAACACATAATTCCCCTCCAAACAGAGTTCTCACGAGGGCTGAAACGATGTGAGGCGCCCATGGAGTACTTCTCATTGTTAAAACTATTTGGAGAACCAGTTTCCTTTATTCCAACAAGCACTGCTCTGGTTTCCTTTGTGATGGTTATTGTCGTTATTTTAGTGCATTTTGTACCCATTCTTATGTTTTACTGACGTGGAAAGATGAATGCAAATAGCCATATCTTATACAAAAATATAAGTGCACATAAAATATTGACAGTCTTCTGTGTAATTTAAAAACAAAATCAATGTCTAGATGCACTATAGTCATTTGCTTCCAGCGTCTACTGAATTCCATACCTGCGCACATCATTTCATTTCATGAGGAACAGATTAGGTGATCATCTGATCCTGGCAGCAAGACATATGAAAGCTGTAATTAAAAAAATATAACGGTAACATAAATCCAACATAGATTTATGTTAGGATAATAGAAGTTAAAGTTTAGCATAAGTAAGGTAAAGAATAAGTGTTGCGTCATTTAAAACCTGATTTCTTTGTGTTACCTGAGATCAGAAAGCCCTGCATGTAATACTGGTTATTTTGACCTTTTCTCATTTTCTGCAAATAAATTGTCCGGTTTAACATTTTTATTTGAAATTTGTTCTGAGGTAAAAGATCTGAATAATCTCTGCATTGTTTTCCGATCTAAAAACAAGTTAAGAGCAAATGAAAAACAAAGAAAGTTGCTGCTATCAGTCACTTCTAATGCTTTGGGACTCCAGTAAACCACAAATGGAGCAGACATGAACCAGTGTACCCAGTATAGGAGTACCCAGTTGACTCCTGGGTAAGCTTTCCCAGGAGTGGGGAGCCGATCAACATGATCCAGGATCAAATTAACAATTCATCTAGGAGGAAGAAAGGAACCCAGAACACCTAAAGATCTCACTTGCCTCAATTAAAGTGGCATGTTTATGTAAAATCAAGTTTTTTGAGCTTCATATCATATTACAATAGTATTCCCTCATCAAAAACATACCTGGAGAGTTGCTTTGATTCTTTAATCTAAATCCTGGAATCTCCCATGGCAACCATTCAGCTGTCCAAAACACCTTGGTGGACCTAGCTTCGCCTTCGAGGATGCTCCTTCAGACTAGCCAGCAGCAATTAGCAAACACCTGGTGGAGCTGAACATCTGCTGAGCTCATTAGATGCGAGTGACTTCTCACTGCAACGCTGGTGGATGAGCGCTGTTGTGATGACTTCCTGAAGGCAGAAACTTGGAAAGAACAGGACTTTCTTAAAAAGACAGAGGTTCAATTTCAAGGCATTAATTTATGAAGTCAAATTCCTTTGAAGTCATATTTGATGTATGCAGCATTTTTTTTATAACTGCAGATAACATGTTCTACAAAATGATTCTAGGTGATTGTAAAACACATAATAAGATCAGTGTTCATGCTTCAACAGTAAGAGACACGTCCATCCATCCGTCCATCCAGGCAATGGTTTCATTTTTGGGGTTCCTTTACAGATCGCAAAGTCCCCTTTTAGTCTGTGTAAAGCATCTGATTTGATGTAAAACTATATTAAAATCTTGTTTGTAACATGTCTTTGACAGCCTCATCATTATCTGCCTTCAGAGAACCGGCTTTATAAATTGCTGGAAACTTTATCACCTTTCCGTCCTTCTCGGTTTGCGGTTTCTGTCCGGCTTTTGTCATGTCATTTGTCATAATTTGACATCGTCTGAATGAAGGTCCAGACATCCGCGGAGCATTGCTCCGTCTGCGCTTTAGAAATCCTTTTAGGGTAAGTGCCCGCGCCTGGAAATCAAGACTGATGCAAGAAATAAGCATCAGCTTTAGGAATCAGGCCGTCTCTGATCTATCATTTCCCATTTCAGAGCGGTCTCACATCCTCCCCCCTCCCCACCGGCCCCCCATCCCTTGACTAGTGCACTCGGGTCCCTCTCTGTCCTCAGTCTTGCCTCTTTCCCTCTTTATTTTGATCAGACTATCTTCTGCTGCTGAGGACTAAATTATGATTAGATTTAAGGATATGCAGTGCTTTCATCTGTCTACTGTGTTGTTCGATGCCGCTCCCCTCTAACCCTCCTCAAGCCAGCTCCCTGACCCCCCAAACACACACAGCACAATAGATGTCTACATCAACTCACTCACAGGCAATTGAACAGCAGAGTGGCCGCTTGGTCCCCATGGAAACGTGTAGATGTGTGTGTGTTTGGTGAATGTTTCCCCTTCGCTGACACAAAACAGAACAAGTCTACGTGAGACACATAGACCAATGCTTTACATGTAAATGATCTGCTTACCTGTGACGCAACCAGTCTGCAGCTACATTATCAAAGTAGGGCATAATCGTGAAGTGAAAGAAGAGTCACTTATTGTTTTAAAAGAAGTCTGAAGTGACTTTGCGTTCATCAGCCTTTACTTTCGTACCCGTAGATAAGATTCTGTGTGAACGATCTTCTTATTGCTAAATAAAGACCTCTGTTTGTATTTTAACCTCAACATAAATACAGCTGTTCTGAGAAGGCCTAAGATGTTTGTTAAGAACATTAGAGAAAAATCAACATCATGAAGGTCAAGGAGCACAGCAGACAGGACAGGGAAAAGGATATGGAGGAGTTCTGGCAAGATCAGCTTTATTCAGAAAACCTGCTTCAAGTTTTTCAATCAGAAGACAAACCGAAAAAAATGACAACCTTTGAAGAAAACATGTTAAAGGCTTCAAAAGGACTGGTTTAGAGATCTGGGCTGCCAAAGTCCAATCCTGCAACTTTTTGATGAGTCTTTTGTCCAACACGCCTGAATGAGATTCAGGTGTGTTTGAGAATGGATGCATTCGCTCAGCGAAATAAATCATTCATTTAATGATATAGTCATAAGTCGTTGGAGCAGAGATGAATCTAAAAGTTGCAGGATGGTAGCACTTGAGGACTGGTCTCTGGAGGTCCTCTACGTATTAGAATGACCTAGTCAAAGTTCAGACATAAATCCAGTGCAGGAACAAAAGTGAGACTTGAACAATGAGCTTCACAAATGCTTTTGAAAATTATGTATCTGCCGTACTATTCTCCTTTACCGTCTGTAATCAAACACTTCTGCATTGTTAATTTTTATGACCTTTGTTTATAGTTTATTTGAGGTAACAATACATTTCCTACACCCAGTTTCCCCCCCCAAGACCTGACCAGAGGGTCCGTGGCGATACCACTGGAAAATTGTTGGCCACTCCCTTTAAATCATTTCAGTTCAAAGAAACCATTAATCACCTTCTTCAGTTAAGACATAAATATAAAACCCAATAAATAAATAA